GTGAGGGCTGGCAGCCCGGAGAAGACATTCAGCTCTATGTCGCACCCCAAGCTTTGACACCAATCAACTTGTAGCAGCTCGAGCTTAGTCATTGTGTCTTCTTCAAACAGCACCGACTGGATGTGGTCTAATCCAACGAGCTCCAGCACCACGAGACTCAGGAAAGATGAGCTTCCTCCACACATAGAGTTTCTTGAGAAAGTAGATACAATCTTCTCGAACTCCATGACCGGCGGGCAAAGACTTGGAGCACGACCTGCTCGCAAAGAGCACCCGGCCTTCTAGGCTGCCGTCCAACTTCTTCCACCGGCCTTCTTCGCTCATGTCTGCCTCCCAGACCTGCAAGCAGAAAGTTCTTCTACCTTGCGGGAAGCAGGGCATCCATGGGTGGCGGAGCCATCGCTTCACCATCAACAGTTTGCCGCGTAGGGGAGACGCAGGCGGTGGTGCGGGTGCGGCGCGCTGTCGTTGGCCAGGTGGAAGAGGGTGCCGTTGGCGAACAGGACCCAGGGGAGCCGCATCGGTGGGAGCTTGCCGGCGGCGGAGCGCCACGGCCGGCAGACTGCGCCTGCTCGGACGCGGTCCGCCAGGGACGCGAGGCGGCGGAGGAGCAGGAGCAGGAGATCATCCGGCAGGTGCGCCCAAGAAGAGTCTTTCGCCATCACGATTGATTGATTCACCAAGACCTAGGCCTAGGCGTGACTTCCGCGCGTGCACAATTAATTATGTTTTCGCTCGGAATTGAGTTAACTTTGTGCACGCTCGATCGGACGCTCAACTTTGCGCGTGAGTCAGCGTTGATTACGCCGCGTTCCAGTTCCTTCCGAGGATGTTGCGTTGCGTTAGGCAGCATGTTGTTGGAATTGGCCAGCCAGCCAGGGTCCAACTAATTAAGCATGCACATGAATGTGTCAATCTTACAAGACAAAGTCATTCGTGCTTCTAACAAAATGAGTCAAACTATTGAAACTGGTGGGACATGCAAATAAATATTACTGAAACGAAACACATCGAGCCAAGCATTGGTAAGCGATATGAAGTCCTTTTTAACACAGTACAAATGCAAGCGTTCATACATACACACATACACTCATCCCTAAGAACGCACACATGCACACCCTAACCTTATGAGCACCTTCGAAAGATTGAACCCTGGTGGGCTGTGGATATCACTGTCCCTCTAACCATGTCCCTCTAACCATCTAAACACAGGTTGGTTCGTGATATGAAGTCCCTAGGATGTACAAATCAAGACATGGTTAGAAATTAATATTATACATGTAAACTAGCTAATCTCCATCTCTTCTCTATTTTTATTGAAAAAGAATGTAAGATTTCATGTTTCACTTTTCTTCCCATGCATCATCCTACGTCCAACCTTCTCTATATGATAACCAATCATGTTAATTACTTACCTTCTGAACCAATTCCATTTTTATTTACTTAGCAAACTTCACATCAAACTATAAGATAAAATCACGAGCAGGATTTGATAAACATTCATTTACACAATCACATTACTATGTGCAGGTAAATCACAAGCTAACATACTGAGTAAATATTTATACACCGTTCAAACGCATGGGCAGTGTCCTAATAACCATACAAAATGCATACGATAACTTTTTGGACCATTGGACAAGCAATTAGGAAAACAACTACTTAAACGATAAATGCTGGCACATGCATGTTGATGACTTGATTAAACTTGGGCATGAAAAAACCATGATGGAAACCGTCCGCTCTTCCACGGCAGCGATGGCATCGACTCACGCAACAAAGGGGTGAACGTCTTGTCTCTAATGTTGTACACGCCAGAGTCGCCGAGAGGTGCCTTGGGCTTCCTCCACACATAGAGTTTCTTGAGGAAGTAGATACAGTCTTCTCGAACTCCATGACCGGCGGGCAAAGACTTGGAGCACGGCCTGCTCACAAAGAGCGCCCGGCCTTCTAGGCTGCCGTCCAACTTCTTCCACCGGCCTTCTTCGCTCATGTCTGCCTCCCAGACCTGCAAGCAGAAAGTTCTTCTACCTTGCGGGAAGCAGGGCATCCATGGGTGGCGGAGCCATCGCTTCACCATCAACAGCTTGCCGCCAGACTCAACTAGATATAGCTCGACCAGGGGATCAGCGAAAAGGTCTTCTTCATCTTGCTTGAAAACGTCTTCTTCATCTTGCTCGTGTTGTTGCCATGACCACGGGTTCTTTATCAAATCTGAACCGCACCGCACTTTTGGTTCGACGCCAGGAGGCGTTGGCTTGTCGAGGTGACCATTGGTGAGGTTGAGGTTCCAGAGGACATGGGTCGTGGAGAGGGCGTAGATCTGCCCTTGAAACAGAGCAATGTCGACGGCCTCGTAAGCCAACACCACGAGGCATGAGTTGCTCTCTCCGGCCGGTCTGCATGTAGAAACGATGACTTTGTCTTCGAGCAGGACGGCGACGATGGGATCGTCCGGCGCCGAAGATAACACCACCTTTCCTATAGCCATCGTGGGCTCGTCTGGGCCATGGGGGGTGCGCCTGAGCTCGTTTGGCTTTCGATGCCGGAGGTTGTAAGTCCGCAAGATAGCAGCTAGCTCAGGGAGATCGGTGGTGGCACCGGAGAGAGCGTTGATGAGGGAGCAGCTGCCGTCGCGCTGGTGCACGAGAAACAACATGTTCTCGCCGACGCTGTAGCGCCAGCAGTCATCGGGGAGACGCAGGCGGTAGTGCGGGTGCGGCGCGCTGTCGTTGGAGAGGTCGAAGAGGGTGCCGTCGCCGAACACGACCCAGGGGAGTCGCGTCGGTGGGAACAGGCTGGCGGCGGAGCACCACGACCTGCAGACGGCGCCTGCTCGGACGCGGTCCAAGAGGGACGTGAGGTGGTGGAGGACCAGGAGCAGGAGATCCGGTTCCAGGTCCGTCCATGCAGACTGGCGCTGGTCTTTCCCCATCATGATTCACGAAAACCTAGCTTTGGTTGATGATTCTGGTAAGAAAATAAAGCTTACGTGCGTGGTTCTACGAAGTCTAGGTTACACCGCCATTGCTTTCCTTTTTAAACAAGTCTATCTGTGTGTCTATTTATCTTGTGTGCTTAAATCTATCTAACCAGTTTTTATTTCAAAATTACAGAAAACGAACTCTTTGGATTTGTCACCCTTAAGCTAAGAAATATGAGTGGTAAAGGTTCATTGAGAACTACCCCGCAAGAAAAAAGGTTCATTGAGATCCAACCTATGAATGCATGATTGGAGAGGTGATTGACTGATTGTATCCCGGACCTAGCCATCCAGGATCAAGATTTTTTTTTTCTTTACAAAATCTTGAAGCTACATGGCCAAATTCAGAATTTGCAGTTATACAACCCCCTTCGGTCGCGTGTAGACCGACAAGTGGCTTTTCGTCCGCGCCACGGATGAGCAGGCACTCTTCGTTCCCTCATAGGCCGAATAGACTTTTTCCTGGACCAAAAAGGTATCTTTTTTCTTTTTGAGGATTCCGAAAAGGTATCTTCATGGCCCACTGAGATGAAGAGATTGTCTTCATCCGCGGCTGCGCTGAAAATCCAGTCTTCGCTAGTTTCCTTCGCAAACAAAGAATTTTGAAATAAAAGCATCTTTAGCCACGTACCTCTAATTCGACCCCTCAAACGTCCACGAACGCGCCCGGTCAGTGACCAGGCGTGTCCGTTTTGAGCCTCTAATTTTTCGCCCGCGCAGCCACACTTCTCATATTTTTCTCATATGTCCGGTCACTTGCACGTGATTGGTGGAGAAGAGAGAGAAATAAAAGAATGAATAAAGAAAGAGAAAAGATGATCCAGGGTGGGGTCGCGTCATACGTGGCGGATTAGCTGGGCGTGCCCGGGCGCATCCGCGAACCCTCATATTTGAGATGGATATGAGGGGTGCCGGTCAGTCAGGGCGTTTGAGACGGATATAAGGGGTCTGATTGGGTCGCATTTTTATGATCGGTCAGTGACCGGACAGCCTACCCGGCCATTTGAGATGGGTATGAGGGGTCCAATTGTAGATGCTCTAAGATTGGAGCCTTCTTCTTTCTCCGAACGGCTGCCATCTCTCCCTCTCTCTCTCACACACACACACATTTGATACATAGAACAAACATTTGATACATCAGTAACGTCATTCCCAAAAGTATCACAAGTAGGAGTGTCCGAGCCTGACTAGGAAATACAGCAGCAACATAGACCAACTCTTCATCAGATTTTTCAGATCAAACAGATTTCCTAGGCATGGGTGTGACAGAGGAGAACCTCGGCATCTCGATGGTGGATCACGAAGAGCAGCCTGTCTCCACTGTCAATTTGTACAAGCAAAGTAAATCCTTCCATCCATCCAGTACGATGAGTTGTCTATCTTTTTCTTGCGCCGAGTAACAAATCGGTATTAGGATAGATAGTAATTCTCATTTCACCATGTCGCTCCAGTTGATCAGGCAGAACATGGGTAGGGAGTCTTTGTTTAAATAACACAATTATTACATGGTATGATGGCCTATTTTTAATAACAAAGACTGTACAATGAATGCTGAAACAAATAAAATTAGTACCAATAGTTTCTCGTTAATGTTGGTCTTGGTTTGAATGTGCATTTGTAGTTTGTATAGTACAGAACTTGGTTCATGTGCATATATTGATAACCCACAAGTATAGAGGATTAATTGTAGCCTTTCTCGATATGTAAGAGTGTCGAACCCAACGAGGAGCTAAAGGTAGAATTTATATTCTCTCAAGTTCTATCGACCACCGATACAACTCTACGCACGCTTGACGTTCGCTTTTCCTAGAACAAGTATAAAACTAGAAGTACTTTGTAGGTGTGATAGGATAGATTTACAAGATAATAAAGAACACGTAAATAAAAACTAGGAGCTGTTTAGACAAATAAACAATTAAGTTAGTTTTAGTAGAGAACTTTTTGTCACAAGAAAGTTATTCGTCCCTAAGCAATCGAGGGAGAGGCATGAGATAACATACTTTCTCTACTTGGATCAAATGCACTTATGATTGAAACTCTAGCAAGCATCCGCAACTACTAAATATCATTAAGGTAAAACCCAGCCATAGCATTATAAGATATGAAGTCCCCTTTACTCCCATACTAAACAACCTACTTACTCGGGTCTGTGCTTCTGTCACTCACGTCACCCACCGTAAGCAAATCATGAACATACTGCAACACCCTACAGCGGGGATCCCTCACGCTTGCACGACACGGAGAGTAACATAGGACATCACAAAAATAAAACATACAACTCAAACCAATCATGATCATCAATCAACCCATACGACAAAACAGATCTACTCAAACATCATAGGATAACCACATATCATTGTATAATAATATATAACATTGAGCACCATGTTTAAGTAGAGGTTACAACGGAGAGAAGAGGTGTTTACACCGCTGCATAGAGGGGGAGAGAGTTGGTGTTGACGACGGCGAAGTTGTTGGTGTAGATTATCGTCACGATGATGGCCCCAGCGGCGTTCCAGCGCCACCGGGGGAGAGGGGGAGAGAGCCCCCCCTTCTTCTTCTTCCTAGCCCCCCCCCCCTAATGGGAGAAGGGTTCCCACCTCTGGTCCATGGCCTCCATGGCAGCGGAGGGGCGAGAGCCCCTTGATAACCCACAAGTATAGGGGATCGTCTGTAGCCTTCTTCGATAAATAAGCGTGTCGAACCCAACGAGGAGCTAAAGGCAGAACATATATTCCCTCAAGTTCTATTGACCACCGATACAACTCTATGCACACTTGACGTTTGCTTTACCTAAAACAAGTATGAAACAATTTTGCAAGAATAAAACTATGAGTACTTTGCGAGAATAAAACTATGAATAAATTGCAAGGTAATAAAAGTGGATAGGTTTTGTCAACAAGAAAGTCATTTGTCCCTAGGCAATCGATAACAAGTACCGGTAATCATTCTTGTAATTTTATATGAGGGAGAGGCATGAGCTAACATACTTTCTCTACTTGGATAATATGCACTTATGATTGGAACTCTAGCAAGCACCCGCAAGTACTAAAGATCATAAGGTCGTGAAACCCAACCATAGCATTAAGTATCAAGTCCTCTTTACTCCCATACGCCATAACCCACTTATCCGTGTTTAGACTGTTGTCATTGCCTCAACACTGACAATAAGCAAACCATGAACATATTGCAACACCCTACAACGCGGGCCCCTCACGTTTGCGTGAGAATGGAGGGCACCGTAGGATAGCACCATAAATAAAGTATACAATCATACCAACCAAGATCACGATTAACCCATAGGACAAAACAGATCTACTCAAACATCATAGGATAACCATAGATCATTCAGAAATAATATATGGAGTTGAGCACCATGTTTAAGTAGAGATTACAGCGGGGAGAAGAGGTGCTACACTGCTGCATAAAGGGGGAGAGAGAGTTGGTGTTGACGGTAGCAAGATTGTTGATGTAGACCGCCGTCACGATCCTAGCCCTGGCGGCACTCCGGCGCCACCGGGAGAGAGGGGGAGAGAGCCCCCCTCCTTATTATTCCTTGGCCTCCCCCCTAGATGGGAGGAGAGTTCCCCCTCTGGTCCATGGCCACCATGGCGGCGGAGGGGCAGGAGCCCCTCCGAGATTGGATCTCCCTCTCCGTTCTCTTCTTTTTCGCGTTCTCTAGATCTGGCCCTTCACCGTTTCTTAAATTCCCGAAGATCCGTAACTCCGATTGCGATGATCTTTTTACACGATTTTTTTTCCGGATATAAGCTTCATTGCACCCGAAGTATAGCTCCAACCGACATTCGAGGAGGGCACGATACACCAGGGCGCGTCTGGGCCTGGTGGCATGCCCTGGTGGGTTCTGCTGGCCTCGGGCCTCCGTTTACGTTGATTCCACCTCCTAAAATTCACAAATATTCCAAAATAATTCTCCGTAGAGTTTCATCACGTTTGGACTTCATTTGATATGTATTTTCTGCAATACAAAAATATGCAACAAACAAGAACTAGCACTGGGCACTAGGTAAGTAAGTTAGTCCAAATAAATCATATAAAAAGTTGCCAAAACTATGTAAAAGTTGAATAATATTGGCATGAAACAACAAAAAATTATAGATACGACGGAGACGTATCGGCATCCCAGCGCTTAATTCCTGCTCGTCCTCGAGTAGGTAAATGATAAAAAAGATAATTTTTGATGTGGAATGCTACCTAACATAAACTTGATCCGGTCTCCAATTCTTGGACGTCGCACAATGTTGCTTCCAAGTACCTCCCTACGACTGACCATACATTGTTTCCAATCTTTGATTGTCATGTCTTCATCGGTTTCAGAAATCCGGTATGAACATATGTGATGTGTAGGATGACCTGTCTGTAAGCTCATAACATCAAGGCGACCTTTCGGAAACATTAGATGAGGCACACAATCCTTCGTGATTTTCTGTTGAAAAACATAGTAATAACTTCGTAGTTAGCAATGTAGTTTAGTTTTAGAAAAATTTATGCAAAAGATGCACAGATGTCGTAATAGTAAAAAATCTTACCATGCCATCTCCATGGATGTTACCGTAGTTCAACACGTGCACTAGTGGCACGTATTGACCATAATGTGCAGGAGTTTGATTATAGATATTGCAATTCTCAAGATCATTAATAAATGAGATCAGATG